TGGGGTATTGGGTTGTTCTCCAAGATCTGATTCACTGGGGGAACCTGGAGAGGTATCCCCTGGGGCGGGTTATGTCCACCGTCCATCTCGTACTCATCCTCAGAATCGCTGCTCAAGTGGCCGTCTATGGGCTCCTTCGTAGCCAGTCTAGCTCGTTGTTGTCTCCAAAGTTGGCGACAGGTGCGTTCAAGCTCCGGATCCAACGGCAGTAAACCTCCCGACTGGCTACGGGTCATGCACTACCTGCACACAGTCAAAAAGCAAACCCGTGAAGGCACAAGTGGGACAAAGCAAACAAACAATGCTAAAAAGAAAAGCTAAATTAACAGAAATCACGTTTCCTCAACAACCTAGCCATCCCCGGCAACGGCGCCAAAAACTTGACTCGCTCCTACCGTCACTCTAGAAAATGGCCAAGTGTAACCACCTCCTAAAGCGTAGTATAGCGGGTTTGGGTTTTAATGTCAACCCGGGTCTTTAGTGTGATGACTACTCCGTGAGTTCTTATTATTTAGCGATGACAGTGTAGTGAAGGTCCAAAACAAGCAAACAAGCAAAGTAGGTAAAGGTTGTTTTCAAGTTGAGAGAGGTCACCTGGATATGGTTCCCCCTAGATTGCAGTTAAGCCAGATTGTAATTTACCAAGTTCAATTTCAATGATAGTTATACTGCGGGAGGTTCTTAAACAGTCTGCAGTCTCGACTAAAGGTCTCCAGACCCTCTCAATCTGAGTCCCCAGCGGGCAACTAACCTCCACCGGAGTAAACAGATTGAGGCCATAACGAACTAAACCTCCACTACCGAAGTAAATCCGGTACAGAATAGTGAATTGACTCCTCGACCAAAGTCGTCAATTCCATACCTTTAATCAAGGGAGCTCTATCAACCTAGGCAGATATTCTCTTTCTAGGTTAAAGCAGAAACAACAGGAATTTGATCAGGATTCATGCCATTCAACAAATCAAACCTCAATTGAATATAATCATATCATTGAATCTATACTTGGGTTCATACAATTAAACCTAACATACAAATCTATGGTTCTTCGTACCCAGGTGAATAAGAAAGTTACTCCATAGAGAGAGATGGGAAATCTAGCTCAGATGCGGAAACCATATTGTGAAGGATGAGATTCTGCTTCTGGCACTCAATCAGCTCTTCTCCAAGCCCAAGCCGGGCTCCAATGGTGATGGAGATCGATCTAAGGCACTTGAAGAATCAGGTTTGTCACTTTCTCTCTCTAGGGTTACACTTTTTCTCTCTAAACCTCGGTCCCCTTCTCCTTTGGCTTGAAATTGGGTTAAAATCAAGAAATTCGCGACCACATGGCCAGACCACACGGCCGTGTGGCTTTCCAGTCTGCCCATGTGGATGTTAAAACGCAGCGTTTCGATTAGTGGGCTTTCAGGCATGCTGCACGGCTAGGGCCACACAGTCGTGTGGATTTCCAGGCTGCCCGTGTGAGCTCCCTGGACTTTCCACATGGCCACAAGGTGTCCCTTACACGGCCAGTGTGGCTTTCCCGTGCAAAGTGGTGCCACACGGCCCTTTGGGATTTTAGGCGTGCCTGTGTGAGTTCCTCAGCTTCTCGCCAATCGTCCAATCTTCGTCCAATCGATCCCGAACTCGTTCCCAGACCTTCATTCACGTACTAGGACCTGAAATATCACAAACAAGAACAACCTAGCGTTAAATCGGCCTAAAACACGAGAATCAACATCTCAAACGACTCAAGAAAAGGGGTAAAAACATGTGCAATCAATGGTCTATCACTATCCAAAGTAGTTCGTGTTTTACCTATACCCATACTCACATAAGAATCGAGTAGAAACTCAAAATCATGTCCATACCCGTTCGGGTTTTGGGTATCCACGGTTATCCATGGGTAATAATTTCACATTATTACTCCAACCAACATGTTAACATTCACCCTTATACTCACCTATATAAGTGGAAAAGTACGACAATAATTCACAATAAGGAAAAAAATTAATTTCAAACAACACAATTTCATGAAAATATTATATTTGTATGTTAAGTATAAAATATGTTGAGAAAAATAATGATAATTTCTAGACAAAATACATGTGCATGTGTATAATCGGGCAGATTAGGGTTGGATAGTGAGAAAATGATGTCCACCCATTATCCGCAATATACCGGTTCGGGTTTTACCCGTACCCTCTGAAAATCGTTCGAGTTTGGGTTTTACCCTACCCGATTAAATCTGATTCGGGAGAATATCCATGGTTTCATATATTTTTTTCGTCCCTACTTCACGCATCATGTTCCGGATCATATGTCGGAGTTGAAATATGATCATCCACAAACCCGATTTTTTTCTTTGCAATCAACGAGTCTGTGAATGTGATGTCACCGAACCATTATCCGTAGTTGAGCTCAGTGAAAAGATCGCCAACATAAAGTTGGCTTGGATTATCCGATCGATGAAGGATGTATGGCAACGCTGGCACAATAGCCTTCGATTCTCCACCTTTGCCTGTGGGTTTCTCTTCGTTGTCAAACATGATGATGATATCTGTGAATCGATATCACAGCTCCAATACCATGAAGAATTTGACAATGCGGAAATACAATTATATATAGGTTTAGAGATGATGAGAGAGTTAGGGTTCTCGACCACTGATTACAATTATATATATGGTGTAGGCTAGCGTGTGCCAGGTGTAAGCTTACCTTACTGTACGCCCGTTCATTTTTGTTATTTAGATCTTGAATTAGTCGGAGTTTGGCGCATGATACTATACCCTAACCTCTAATGAGTGAACCTGAATCCCCAATTCTCTAACTCAAACCATAAGATTCATTTAATCTCAAAATGAAAAATCAAAGATTCTGATTTTTCAAATTATCAAAGTACAAATAATATGTGTGAAAACAGAAGTACAGCATAATAGAGGGAGAATTACCATCCACACTCCTAACTAACAAAAGAAGACAATCAAGGACTAAAGATGTTAATAGGAGACTCGTAACAGAATTATGGTAATGTCAAGTGGATGTAGAGGATCTCTAGGGCTACCCCTACTGCCACTACCATTACTATAGTCTCACTAATTTGTTGTAAACAAATGAAAGTACAGCTTTTGTCAACTCAATAATCCTCTCAATTCTTTAAGATTTTATTTGAATTGATATAGTGATGTCGCAAAATAATTTTGCGGGTGCATAAGGATCTATAATAATGTATTCGACTTTAGTTTTATGGGTGACAACTGACAACCATAAAAGGTATGTAATACGATATAATTGGTATATAAGATAGGGAGGACCACAAATAATAAAAAAAAGAAAAATGTGGGATCTTTAAAAAAATAGCAAAGGAATTCCAAAACTTTGTGTTACCCATAGGTCAATATTTCTCTTTTAAAATTTCACATTTTCAATATTAATATTTGTAATTTTCTCTCTCCTCATCAAAACACATTAATGTCAAAACACATTTGTAATTTTCTCTACCCCAGCCCCCCACATCGTACAATTATTGATCCACCGCCAGGAAATCCTAAGTTGGAGATCCACTGAGATGGAGCTTTTTGCTCGGAATCCCAGGTGGCGGCATGTGGTGTAGTTGTTCATAACAACCATGGACAAGTAATTGATGGAAGGGCTGGGACTCTGTTTTGTTCATCAGCGATTGTAGCGGAAGCAAAGGCACTTTTAACGGCTCTCAGATTCGCAAATGATTCAGGCCTCACTGCAAGTGTTCTTTCGGATTGCAAAGTTCTTGTTGACGCAATCAAGGGCAATAGCACGACAGGGCAATGGCAAGTGAGGGCATGGATCCATTGCATCAGGCAGATCTTGGACTCTAACGATCGTATCCGAGTGGACTTTACACCTAGAAGATTGAACAAGAGTGCGGACTGGGTTGCAAGAGAAACAGCAACAGGATCTCTTCCCACAGATTGGATTCAAATCCTTGATCTTATTTCACCTTTGTTGTAAATGGTTACGCTTGTACTACAATTGTTTCATGAATGAAATTTAACCCATTGTCAAAAAAAAAAGATAAGTAAAAATTTAGAAAATACGTTACACGGTAACTAAATTATACGAAATTCTTAGTGAAAGATAAATAAAATATTCTTAATATGGAACATGAGGGGCTTTTCAAAAAAAGTTCTTCAAAATTCAGATAAATTTAAAACTATCTGTGCACGGATAGTACTAGTCTTGTTGTTGTGATTCTGAAAAGTACAAGAGAGCAATAGTTAAAGAAAGTTGGGTAAATACAATTTAATATCCAAACCTTTCATTTTAAACAATATAATGGCCAAACCTTTTCGAAAACAATATAATATCCAAATCCTCAACTTTCCGTCCATTTGACACTTCAAAAAAGCTTTGTTTAGGGGAAATTGTCACAATACAACTTTGTTTTCTTGTTTTGGCATTGCAGATGACTGAATATTTAGATATTCTATATCATCATGGTGGAGTCATGGACTTCTCGGGTTAGGAACCACGATATGTTGGTGGTTTTTCAGAGAAGATATCGATGGATATTGATGAAGCGTCGTACTTCGAACTTTTTTGAAGTGTCAACTAACGGTCAAACGAACGGAAAGTTGACGATTTGGATATTAGATTGTTTTCGAAAAGGTTTGGCTATTATATTGTTTAAAATGAAAGGTTTGGATATTAAATTGTATTTACCCATTCAGATTAGTATTTTGCCTCCAAAACAACTATATAAAGTATGATTGCTCAAGACAGAGTTGAATTAGAATGTTATGAGATGATGAACCGATTTTATGAGTTCTCATTATATTGATACAATAGTTTAACATGATAGTAATTATTTTATTGGGAATTATATTTTGTACTCATTATGTCTCTGAGAGACGAGCTTTTTATGAAGTAAATGTTTTGGTTGCTTTTCTATATCCCGTTAGGAATATGTAGTGGCAATTTAACCTGGTGTTAGAGTCTGGATACTAAAATCTTAGATTAGCCCAAATATCAAATATGTGGGACTTGTGTCATCTGGTATATTGGTGAAATTGGATGTTAATAGAGCTTCTGATCCGAGTTTTACATGGACAAACATATCAATAGATGATTCTTCGCGTGTAAGTCGGATTGGGGGAAATTGAAAGTGATTGGTGTGCTTTCAATGCTTTCAACTATGACGAGGAGATGATAGATTTTTCATGGAAAAGACGGAAAGTGGACAAAGAATTGACGAAATCATGATTGATACAATGATAATTTTGGCCACGAAAGTCCGAAGGAGCTCTTCAGGCTCTACAGTCCCATTTAAACAGTTCAGTACACCCATAAACTTAATTACCAGAAAAGTTCCACTAGATAATACCGAGGCCTCCCAATTCCAAAAATTCAAGCCCAAATGAAATGGCATCATTCCATCATTGAGCGGGTATTTTGAAACTTCAAAGGCCATCTTAACCTCTCTGAATTCTCTGATTATCACCTACAGCTACTAACCTGACTAGTGGGAGACGAATTCCCTTTCTCGCTCGTGAAGAACTCATTTTCTTCAGCTTCCAACCCATCTGCGAAGAAAGCATTGCTAACACTCGGCTCAGAGCTACTAGCATTGCTGCTCGTTGCATGGGGGGATTCCGACGCGCTAACTGTTGTCCTGCTTCTTGTGGATCCACCTGCTGATCTCACACTGTACATTGATGAAGCAGGTATGTTGGTCATCAGTGGCCGTAGATTGCCTGTAATGCTTCTTCTGATATCCTGCTCAGCAACAAAGCCCTGTTGAATTCGTTTGCAAGTTGCGAACACTCGTCCAACGCGACGATATAAAGCTTAATAAGTAAGAGAATGCGTACCATATGCCTCAAAGCCATGTCAAGAGACTTCTTTGACAGCGATCTGCCCAAGTTCCCAGCAGAATTGCTTTGGGAAGAGCGATAATCATCATGCTTGGGTGGCGCCAGCTTTCTCATGTTGACCACTCTTTCAACCATCTGGGTTCCCATCAGCCCCGGATTCAAATCTTCGCCACCATCATACATCTGACTTGATCTGCTGCTCTTGATGGAAACAGGAAGCTTAGTGCCAACCGGGCCACTCCCATGTGTTGAAGTTCTCACTCTAGCAGGTGAGCAAGACTGCTGCCTTGGTCTTCCATTCGCAACAGCAGCTGCAGCAGTGGAAGATGATCGAGCACCAGGCCTGCCCCTGGTAGCCGAAGCTGGCCTTTCTGGCAGCGAGGTCTTCAAGTTTGGTGGAGCATCGTGGGAGAAACCGGGCATCTCATTAGGTTTCCAAGGCCTCGGCTTCACCGTTGGAGAGCTCCAACGTGATGATGGAGGAGCTGGATTCTTGGATGGTGCTAGGGAAGCAGCTGATTTTGTCACGGATGAGGATCTCGACGATGGGGTAGATGAGCGGGGCCTGGATGGAGTTGAGGATCTCGACGCTGACCTTGAAGATGGTAAAGAGTGTCTGCTAGCAGTGGGTGTTGATGCTCGTGAGCTGGTTTTTGTGGGCGTGGATGATCTTGCCCCTGAAGCTGCTGCAGCAGGTTTTGTTGATGAGGACAATGTGGGGCGTGGTGTAGGAGTTGAAGATCGCGGTGCAGCCGGCCTAGATGAAGGTAAAGTGGGTCGTGATGTTGGTGTTGAAGGTCTAGAAGTGGGTTTTGATGCTCCGGTGGATGAAGATCTCCTATTGCTACCAGCTGTAACGATGGGTTTAGCTGGTCCACTAGTTCTTGGAGGTGGCACTTCCTGAATATTAGTCAGCTGCAAAGCAAAACAGGATGATGTCAACATAAAGCAAAAGAGAGACGAACAGAACTCTATCATGTAGAGAGTTCTCACCCTCGACTTCAGAGCAGTGGGACGAGCAGTTTTCTGGGTCTCCATCTCTGTCGTAGATGGGACAAGTGGGGTTCCAGGTGGTGTTATAAGCCTGAACCAAAAAGAAATTGCATACTAATATTCAGCTTCCGCAAGTATGTACACGAATCAAAAGCGATTAATTAACGCAAACTATTTTTTTCGTTTCCATGGTGGAGAAGTAGTTGCTCGTAAAAAAGGAACAAGAATTAACAGCATAATCAAGTCAACTGATCCAGAAATAGCAAGTTTCAGAGGCATGTGTGTTCATCCTCAGTTAGCTACTCCCAATCATATATACAAAGAAATTGAAGATACATGTAGCCAAACAGGAATGCCATTGGATGAGTGAATTGAGTTTAGACAATCGCAGAAACTATGATCCAGTTTGATCATAAGGAACAGTTTAGTGAAGATCAAATCTCAACGAGCCACAGGGACGTTAGGTTAGATCCTAAATCATTTAAGCTGAAATGCGCCTAACGGATCTCAAGGGAGCGAATTGAAGCGCAGGGATATAGAACCCGTACCAATCATAATCAGATTTGTCATTCTCGGAGTCGAGAAATTTCTCCGCCGCAGTTCTGCGATGCGGCCCCATCTGAGTTAATGGAGGAATTCCGCCTTTGATCCCTGAAAACAGTAACAAAAAACCATATGTGATCTCCGGGATACAGGAAAGAGACGAGATCGGCGGCCAAAAGATAAAAAGCGGAGCAGGCGCCCACCTAGAGGAGCATCCATTGTTACAGGAAAGCCTGCGACGAGATTGCTTCTCTCCTTCTCCTTCTCGCGTCTCCTGAGCTCCAAGAACAGAGCCAGCTCTTCGTCCTTCTCCTTCGTCACCATCTACAGTACTCCCTTCTTTTCTTCTGCTTCTTCCCTTTCCACTCCTATGCTCGGCAATTAAAGATTAAGGCAATCAAAAATCTCTCCGTGAAATGCTGCTGCTGCTGATGATCATTCAGCCGCCGAGAGTCAAAGCTGAAACAGAGATTTTCAAATATCGTTCCATCAACACATCTGAAAGATCTGAAAGTTCAACACAAGGAAATATAGGGTCCTTACCGAGTCAGATTGAATCTACAACGAGAGACGGAGGTAATGACGCTTGTAACAGAAGAAGGCGCGGAACTTCCGAGGGAGCAGCAATGGCGGAAGAGAGGCAAGTTGGAATGATAATCTGGTGGGGTGTGATGGGGAGAATCTACGGAAAGAAGCTGCGGGTATAGCGGAAATTTGGGAAGGGGAAGAAGATGAGAGAAAGAGCAGGTGAAAGGAGGGAGCGGCGAGGAGACCGTCCGTTTGTCTTCCTTCGTTTCCTTGTGGGCTGCGTTGGCGATTGGTTTGACTGACTGAGGGTGAGGGAGGGAGGGAAGGAAGAGCGTGTATTTCACTATTTTGTTCCCGTTTTTCTGTTGCCACGCTGGGGTTGTATTGTATTGTATGTATCCATGACTTTTTTGAAAACTAAACAAATATTAAATAATAACAATAATGATGATAATAAATAATAATTTCGATGGCAATTGATGGAAGGAAGGAAGGGCACGTAGTAATGGCGAATTTTTCAAACCTTTCTATCCAAATGTCCATTCTATCACAAGAATCACCATTTTGCCACTCCCTCCAATTTAGGGGGTGTTCAAACGGTTTGGTTACCGTGGTAATCGTTTTAACCGGTACTATTTGGATAATTTGGTTTGGTTAATTTAGATAATTGGTTTGGTTTGATTAAATTTTTTAGCTTGTTTGGTTTAGGTGGTTTGGTTTGGTTTCATACACTCCTAACCAGTCAAACCAAATTAACCAGTTAAGTAATTAGTCATATATCTAACATATATTATATACACATAATACTTTGCATAAACACTCAAGAGTTAACGTTCATCCCTTTTAGACTCATAAAATATAAAGCTCAATATTGCTCATATAGTGTATATTTGTATATGTAAAGTCTAGACCACAACATATGGACGCCTAATTTAGATAAATTTCATACATTATGATGAATGAAAACTTGAAAGAAAGGTAATTTCCAGCCTATGATAATTGCTAAGAGACTAAGTCAATTTACACAAACACAACAATTCATTAACGCATACCATTGTCATAATTTTTTGTTAATATAGTGTCATAATTGTCATAATTTCATACCATTGCTCATATAGTGTATATTTGTATATGTAAAGTCTAGACCACAACAAATGGACGCCTAATTTAGATAAATTTCATACATTATGATGAATGAAAACTTGAAAGGAATGTCATTTCCAGCCTATGATAATTGCTAAGAGACTAAGTCAATTTACACAAACACAACAATTCATTAACCCATACCATTGTCATAATTTTTTGTTAGGTGAATACTTCTATACTAATCGTAAGATAATTGTCTTAGTTGCATGTATTTTTGTTAAGGGTCAACTATAACTACGTGTTGATTGTTATGTTTTATTCATTATATATATTGCGAATTGTTGCATTAACCGGAAAATTTTCATCGTCAATGATAATGTGATTTTATATTGGTTAATCTGGTTAACCAATTAACCAAACCGATTAAACTTTAGTTTGGTTAATTTGGTTGTTGTATTAGTTTGGACGGTTTGGTTATGATATTGTATTCCATGGTTAATGGAATTTACCCTTATTTGGTTTGGTTATAATCATGGTAACCATTTGAACACCCCATACCCTCCATCTATAGGTGTCAATCGGGCGGGTTCGGGCTGGGTTCAATCGGGTTCGGGTTCAAACAGGTTGCGGGTTCATTGGGTTAGGGTTTATCGGGTTCGGGTCCAAACGGGTTGCGGGTTAGTCGGGTTGCGGGTTCATCGGGTTCGGGTTCAATCGGGTTGCGGGCAAATCGGGTTGCGGGTTCATCGGGTTTTGGGTCGGGCGGATCGGGTTTCGGGTTGTTCGGGCCAGCTCATCGAGTAACTTACTCATTACTCGTTACCAACTTACACATTTTATTACACTAATTTAAAATATGTTTCTCAATTTTTTAACCAATTTCTTAATTTTTTTGAAAAAAACTAGTCAAAATGTTAAATCAATTTGTATGACTTGCAAACTTGTTATGTAATTAATCATAATTGGTAAAGTACAGTAGCTAATAGTAATGGTGATATCAATATTTGGAACCAAAAGACACCATTAATTGTTTATTTGATTTTTTAGTATTAATTCAATAGTAATTGGATTAAAGTATCTGGTTTAGTATAACCATGCAAATCTAGTATTTGGCGTGTGGTATTTGACAAAAGCAGAGGATAAAATGAGTTATTTCGAAATAACTCATTGCCAAAATAACTTCAGTAAACGGTTGCAAAATGAGTTATATGTAAAATTGTTTGAATTATCCTAAAAATTGAACCTTTAAAGATTAACTATCAAATTTAGTAAATTTATTGTGACTTCAATCATAACTTACTCAATAACATATATCCTATACACTTGGCCTTACCCTCAATCGACAATATTAAGTTAGTATATGTTGTTGATTGTATACCCTAAACCATCAATACATTATACACTAACCACATACCCTACACCCTATACCCTAACCATATGTTCTTGAGTTGTGGTTTTGCTAGTATAGTTAATTTAAAAGTGAAATTCATACTTTTATTTTCAAAGGCAAGAATATCCTGAATCGATTTGTGCTTTTTTTAATAAAAAATTTGATAATGAGCGTCGGTTATTCCCTATACGAAATGAAAAAATAATTTGATATAAGTTTAGAATGAAAATTTTTATTTTGAAAAATTATGTATTGTATATAATAATAATTATTCAAGTGGATTAGGTGAAGTTCGGGTTGAGCCGGTCGGGTTACGGGTTAGTCGGGTTTGGATCAATTGGATTCGGATTAATCGGGTTGCGGGTCAGTCGGGTTGCGGATCAATCGGGTTCGGGTTAATCGGGTTGCGGGTCAGTCGGGTTGCGGGTTAATCGGGTTGCAGGTCGGGCGGGTTACGGGTTGTTGACTTTTAGTCAATCCTAGTTGCGGTCGGGTTACGGGTCGGGTTGATCGGTCGGGTTAATCGGGTCGGGCCATGTTTTGACACCTACTCCATCCATGAAAATGTTCTCTGCTCCTTCAATTTTGGAGTCCGTTGGATGAAAACTTATAACAAATCAATTAGTTTGGAATAATTGAATCAAATTCATTCATTTCATAGTCTCAATATTTTTTTTTTTGACAATTCATAGTCTCAAATTAGATGAATCAATTTGTTATGAATCTTCCTTATATTGTTCAATTATATCGGATATCCCAAAAGGAGAAAGCAATTTGTTATAGATAATTTTGAATTAACTTTATTTTGATAGAATTATAATAATCTTAAATGATGTATATAATTCCAAATTTCCAATTGGCTGGTTATGTGACTTAAGGGTTAGTTACATTTATGGCGAATCTACTCTCATGCTTTTCAGTTTTCACCATGGTTGTCATGCAGGTGGCATGCCACCCGGTTGAACCGGGTTCAACCTATAGCGGTCATAAACCGGCATGACACCACCAGTATGATCGTTATAATCGACCCACGCATTTTAAGCAAAATGATATTATTTTAATGAATTTAATTAATAAAAATAATAATTTATTATTGATTTTGTGAATTTAATAGTTAAAAGTTGATGATATTTGTTGGATTGTAACTAAATTGTCCATAAATATGTTTTATATATGATTAAATACATTAAATATTAATTATTTTCACATTTTTTTAAACCGGCATGAACCGGCACAAACTGATTATACCACCGATCGTACCATTCCACTTACCAAACCGGCACACTGGTATAAACAGGTTTGACAACCTTGGTTTTCACAAAGGAGTCCAAGCTGGGCAATGCCGCAGTATTTCGACAACTAGAACACGTCCAAAGACGGAAAAGGGCAAAATAATGAAAGTTAATATAAGGTCAGGCCCAGGTTCAAATCTGAACTGTTGGATTCCTTGAGATGTGTCAGTGGGCTTTAATCCGACGGCCAATGTTAAGACGGAACACCAAAGTTTCAAATCTTCCCCTCGTTCGCTGTGTTGACATGGGAAATCGTGTGGTTTCAATTTTGTGTTCTGCGTCTTGTTCTTTCGGCGGGCCCCAACGAAACTCTGACGAGTGACGACCCCACCAACCCGGTTACAAGGCTTTAATGACAAATTGCGCTCATAGATCTTGTTTTAACAAAGTACTCTATATGTTTGGTGAGGCCAATTTGACTCCAACTTTTATGATTTGGTCATCTCGATACAGAGAAGAATATCTCGGTTCCACTTAATTTGAGAATTGAGTAAGCATATCACTTAAGTTTGAATAGGGTGTTGGATACCATTGAACTTTATTATACATGCACCTAGTACCATTTAAGATTATTGTTAATTGCATTCCGTTAAAGTTGACAAAATATTATTGATATATTCAATTATTTAAATTTCATAATTAGTCCTTCTACTTTTTATTCTAAAAATATCATTTGGACTTATGAAAAATATTATTTTTTATTGTTTAGTTAGAATGCTCTTTTGAATACTTAATACCAAACCAATTTTTGAATAGAAATTTTAGAATCAATTATCATTATAATTATTTTCAATTATTATGTGTTGAATTATTCCATGAATGTTGTAACTAAACAATATTATAGCTTTTATACTCATATTTTCTTTTCTACATTTTTACCGAATGTTGTAATTTTTATATTTTTTTATTACTTGGTTACATTTCATCTCTTTTTGTTCAAATTTTTTTTAATTATTGAAATAAGTTTAATTCTTTCTGATTGTGTTCCATTTATCCTTTTTTGATTTTGATGTATTGATGATCGATTAGGTTCTATTTTAACTATTTTGTATTGGTGAAAGTATTTTAACTATTTCTAATGGTGCTTCTAACTGAATTAGGGGGTTAAATAGATATTCTAAAATTAATTATTATATTCTAGCATATTAATTCTTCTTGATATTAAATTACTATTTTTACTAAGTTATCTATTTTATTGAAAAAATTTGATTTGTCATTCTAGTAATAATATGTTTAGAAGGTTTTCTAATTATTATATTAGATAAAACTTGTTGAAATATAGTTTTGGATGTTTTTAAAGTTCTTCAAAGTGTCAGCACTAGAGATTTTCGGAATTAGGGACACTGCAGTAGAGTTAACTCCCCTAGGGAGATTACCTGAGTTGAAGAAATAGAGGATCCCCCTGGTCACTTCAACACCAATAATCGCCCATGCCTTCTTGTGGGAACCAGTTGAAAACCCATATGGCCCTGGAGCCTTTCGGGAATTCAGCCAAACACAAAATTTCTAATCTCCTCTACTGTGACTGTCTGAATAAGAGTCTCACACTCAACAGAAGGTATTTGCTTTTTGTTTGAGCCTCAACCTACCAGTCTCGCCTAT